GGCCGAGTCTGCGGCCGGGCGGTGCAGGTGCGTCCAGCCCGCGCGGCCCTCGCCCGCGTCTCAGCCGCCGCCACCCGCTGCCGAGATGGCGACGCGCTCCTGCCGGGAGAAGGCGCAGAAGCTGAACGAGCAGCACCAGCTCATCCTGTCCAGGCTGCTGAGGGAGGAGGACAACAAGTACTGCGCCGACTGCGAGGCCAAAGGTAGCGCGGACGGCGCCCCGGGCTCCCGCGGCCGTGACCTTCGGGGCGCCCGGCCGGCTCGGCGGATGCGGGCGCGGGGCTCCTCGCCGGAGCCGGTGCCCGCGATGCTCCGACCTCCCCGGGGCCGGGCCAGAGCGGGACGCCGCCGGATGGGGTAGGGGTGAGAGGGTCGCCCCTCCCGGCGCTCACAGGTGCCTCGTGGGTGGGGCCACCCGGCGCCGCGTCTTCCCCCTCGGGAATCGGATGCTCCGTGTCCCGGGTGCAGCCCTACCTGCCCGCCCACCTGGCAGCTTTGTCCTGGGCTCTCGCTTTGCTTCCTGAGAAAGAGTGTGCTGGTCCTTTTTGGTGGGGTTGGACTTTTATTCAGTAAAACAACTGGGGAGGGATTGTTACTATCATCATTCGTAGTGTGTTTTCAGCTGGGTTTTAGCCGGAATGGAGAAGAATCTCCTTACGTGAGTCTCTTGCATAGTGGGCTTCTGTTCCTGGAAATTTAATAATTAGATTCTCTCTGACCAGCTAGTTTGGGAGCTTATGTATGTGAACCCTGGTCTGTATGCCCCATAAACGTCAAAGGTGCATTTTAAAGCTCCAGAAATGAGAAAAACCTAATTTTAGTTTGTTGCAGTTTCTGCCTGAGCCTTTGAAATAGATTCACTATTTTTAGCTTATATGTTTTGGCTTTGGAGATCTGATTTATGTTTAATGTCTTATAAGTAATCTCATGGGAAAAAATTCACATTTTTAAAAAACCTCTTACATGGTAGAAAAAAAATCTTGCTTTTTTTGTAAATTGGTTTATTTGTTTAGTAGATGAGAAGTAGGTAGTTCTCCGAGGCAGGAGTCCGCCTTTGGGAATGTCGTTTAAAATTTCTGCATTATTTGACTTGAACTTCTCCTGAGGCTTTACTGTTCTTCCTCAGTACTGTATACATGAGTCACGTTTCAGTAGGCTGGTAATGTTTGATTAAACTAAGCCACACCATCGGCAAATTACTTCACTACCAAAACAGGTACTGATTACTGGAAGGTACCGTGGGAGTACTGTAACTAGACCATTTTATGAAGCACTTTTCAAATCATAGTTAGTTGATTGGGCCAATCTTATATTTATTGTGCGTAACCTTTCAGGTGATGAGGTGAAAATGATTGATTGTTAGAGTAGTATTTGTTTACCTGAAATTGATTATGCGTGTGGCTGTTTGGACTGCTGTTCTGCATTGAGGCTCAGTTGCTCACTCATCACTGCACTAGTGAAACACTGGAGAGTAGGCCTTTAGAAGGCCAGAAAAAGAAAGGAACTCAGGTTAAACAGGGTGCATTTTGAGTAATTAATACAGTTAACTAGAGATGCTAGTAAGCATTAAATCTTCTCATTAAAAATTGAATAACAATTTCAGTAATTATCTTCCTTTATGCATCGAAATCATTGAAAAATAGTTTTCAAGTTTCTTTCTCCCCAAAAAGTACTTTATAAAATCAGATTTCACCAATGCTTCCTAAAATAACTTATAGGTTAAAAAAAGCCATTCTTTACCACACCTTGACATTTCCATGTACTCTTTTTGAGGTGAAAAAGAAGAATTAGGTACCTCTCAAATTAGGACAGAAATTTTACCTCTTCTGACCTGAGGAATAGAGAACATTAGTTGTGTTAGTTTTGCTCACTAGTTGTCTTGCCACTGGAATCATTAGATGTATATCGAATGAATGTCTTTTTTATTTTGGTTTTGCTTGGTCTTTTGTGGTTTTGTTTGTTTTTGAGAAGCGAAGGAAGTGGGAGAGAACAGTACCAGGAGTTCAAGGATGTGGTGTGAAGGGCATGTGTGAACTCCACAGTCAGGATTTAGAAAGGTCCTTGTTTTTTCCTGTTGCTACTAAATCTTGAGTAATGTTAGAATGATCTAAATTATTTCACTGTTTTATCTTCATCTTTCAGGAAAAACAAATCACAGGCAAAATCATTTATTGGTTTAATGAGGTTTGATTTATTAGTTGTAATAATTGAAAAAGATGGACATGATTGGGCAGTTGAGATGATTAAATGTATTTTGTAAAGTTTTTGAGTCTTTCGTATGATTCAGCTCCATTGGGGTGCTCTCTTAGTAGAATTCTTGGCTTATTACATATTTTGGCTCTATTATTATGTATGTCAGATAACATAGTAAATGTAGCTAGTGAAATTCTGATCAAATGTACTTTTAAAAGACATGTTAAAGGTCTTACTTTACAGTTTAGTTATTATAAAGTGGTTCCATACTCTGTGTGTGTATGTATGTGTATATATACATTTTTTTCACTGCTTAATAAATTGCATCAAGCTTTTCATGCATTTTGAAGTTATTTCCTAATTAACTCAATTTAAGAATGTTTCCCCAGAAACATTCTTGCCTTCTAATGGTTGGTAGAGGTATTTTGGACTTTAACATTTTCTTACCCTGCCTGATTTGATAGTATTTGGAAGGTAAGGGAGGAGGAAGGACAGCAGAGGTGCCTGTTTCCTGCTCTTGATCCTACTCTTAGCAGATCTCTTGAGGGACTGGAGGCTAGGAACAGGCAGGTGGAGCTGCTCTTCCTCTATCTGGCCCCGTTCCTGACCCTGGGGGGGGGGGGTTTTAAAGCAGTTCTATTGGTTATTAGTTGGTGCCACTTTATGGAGCAGTGAGGATTTTGAGCCCCTTGCCGACTTCAAGTTTAGTTTTTAGTATTTAAAGTTTCTCCCATGGTTAATACTGGCTTTGATTCTGAGCACGTGTAAGTTGGCATGAAGGTGTATCTCTTGCCCAGTTAAGTTTTGGGAGGGTCGGAAACAAAAGGTTTGTGAACCCTCTAGATGGCTTTGTTCTGCCTGTCTGGTATGGAGAGGTTAAGCAGTTTGCTCAGATCAAACACTCATTTCTTCATTCCACAGATCGTGACTTGAGGACACACCGTGAAGCACTGTATTGGATCAGGGGACTAAAAAAGTTTGAAAGACCTAAAGGAGTTTGCTTACTGGGGACTGCATTTTTGCAAATGAATAATTCTAAAATGATGTGCGAAGTGTTAGACTAGTGGTTGTAAGAAGGACCTCCCTCTGCACGTATTTTGGGCCGATGGTCTTCCTTGCACCCTGACTTCTGTCCCTCGATTGTCATCACAGTTCCTAGAATGCTGTCTCCCGGCCTTTGCACATGCTGTGTCTTCTGCCTGGGAAGCTCGCTAACAGTTACTTGCTTGATGAGTTTTACCTATTTTCCAGTTTCTGCTTTAAGTGTCTCCACAAGGAAACGATTCTCCCCGATCTTCCCAGATTAGGTTAGGCTTGCATTAGACATGTGAGACGCACCCTGAATCTTTTATTACGCTGACCACAGTTGTAATTAAATGTTATTTGGATAATTATTGTGAAATCAACATCCCTGTTGGATTGTAGCTGTGAGAGGGATGAGATCTTGTCTGTCTTGTTTTGGCTTGTGTCCCCAGCCCTCGGCACAATGTGTGACATGTCGTAGGTAAATGTAACTCAGCAAGTGTGTGCTGAATGAATGGGTGTGAATGAGCACAGAGCTGAGGGCAGGCAGCGGGGTGGGTGGATGCGAGTGTGCATCTGGGCGTGTGGAATGACCCTTTGGGGGAGAGGCGCAGAAGCAGTCTCCCTGAGCTGGGTTCTGAAGCGTGGGATTTCACCTGAGGGAGAAGCTGCACAGACGGAGGGACAGGTACATAAAAGAACATGAGAGGTTTCCGTACGGCCCCTTTTTTTGTGAGCTAACTTTAAGCTTGATCAGATTTGGAGGTGGCGGGTCTGAGAAAGAACTGGAATGGAGAGAGCGGGCAGGTCACCTCGTTGCAGCAGTGTCCAAGCGAGAGAGCAGGAGGCCCTGAGCTCTCTTAGTGTCAGTGTATCCTACGTCAGCAGACAGGGCGGGGAACAACCAGTGTAGCTGTAATAATACCATTTCTGTTAAGGAACAGGCTACTCACAGAATCATTAAAGAGCTGGAGGAGCAGAATCAGGGAGCCTCTCCTGACTTCCAGTTTCAAGGCCACACCATTGCCACTGCCAGTGCCGCCACCACTGCCAACCGCCGCCTGGGTTGCTTCTCACCCCCGGACTAATGAACTGATCGAGAACAGGACCATGGCGGCTGCAGCCACTCAGTGTCTGTTAGACATCTTTGTCAGTTCCCTTGCTGTAGTAAAGTGGCCTTTGCTGCACTTGAGCCTTCCACATGACTGGCAGACCTAACTTATGTCCAGGACCTTTCCTTCATGGGAGACTTTAGGAATGGTAACCGCTTCAAAAATTAGAGATGTGAAATGGAGATTGTGAGACCCAGTCGAGTACTATGGGCAGTCGGTGATGGACATTTTTTTAAATCAATATTTTATCAATATCAAAATATATAAGAGTTCTTGTATAAACCTATTTTAAAGTAATTCTTACTAAAGAGTAAAGTTGACTTTGAGGAAGTGGTGTTTATGATGATGTTGATGCTAATAGGAGAAATTCATATAAACAGAGGTCTGTGATTATAATTCTTTTAAGAGACCTGCCAATCTAAAAGTTCCCTCATAATGCGAAACTTCAGTCTGATGAGATTATTCTTATAATTCTGCTGATTCTGAGGTTTGCCCTGATGATTGTGTGCAGAGCTCTGGTGTCAGAGCTGGGATGGAAAACACTGGTCTCTCTCTGACTCATCAGTTTAACTTTGGCTGCATGTTGTCCCATCCTTTTTTCCTCCCAATTTCTTGTTTTTTTTTTTTTTTTTTTTTAGAGATTGAAATGTTCTTCTGTTACTGGATTTTACTAAGTAAATTTATATGTCCTTAATTCTTGCTATATGATATATGTGTATTATGTGTGTGTGTGTGTGTGCGCGCAAAACCCTTAGTGATCTATACAGACTGGAACGCGTGTGTTCAAGGCGAAGTCAGCTGTCTGGCGTTCTGATTGTATACATTATAAATGCAAGCCTTCTCCTCCTCCTGCTGCTACTGCTACTAGCACTCCT